TTACACGTATAAGGGTCTTTTTATAGATTTGGGGTTTTGGGCTCCATATTTAGTTAATGCACCTGGCCCAAAATACACTTTTTGGGTCCACAGGCTCCAAATCCGAATCCGTTTGCACTGTTAAACTCGTTCCGTTGAATCCTACGCAAGGGTATAAACCTTTTTATCAAACGAAGAATATTTCCAAATTACACCAAGTCTGTAACTGTAATTAATTAGTTATCTTCAATTAATTAATTCCGATATGTCGGGCTTCGGGCGTTACATTGACTCTCTAATTCAAGTCATATTGGCTAACAGTTTGGCTTCTCACTCTCACGTGCACCACTTCTGTATTGTGACAAACTTGGAAGTTGGGGTAACCTATGTTTCTAATAACCTTAATTTTCTTTCTCGTATGAACTATGAAGTATATAACTTTTGGTTACTATTTTGTTCGTGATCTTTTCCATTAAAAATTGGATCCTAAATAAAAAAACTGTTTCGTGAGGAGGAGAGTGATCCAAAACTTTAGATATAATGTATATAAAATATATTAAGGGTAGAATAAAGTGTATTCTATTTCTACACCAACACGTTATGCATCTTACATTTCTTAATGTGAGCATGAAAAAAAGAACTGAATAAAAAATGCGTATTTAATAAAAAAAACCGCTTGATTTTGAATGAGGTGGAATTCAGGATGAGAAAAAATCTACCACTGCGTATATCGTCTGTCTTGGCTCTAATATAATCTTCTACAAGTTGTATGTGCACTCGCTCATGCTGTGACTGAAACATTATGGATCAATAATTTACTTAGAGCTTGTATTATGAATGCTCAACCTCACTATGAATGCTCAACCTCATAATGACGCTAAAAATATTAAAACACACAAGTTTAGTAAAAAATGATCTTTTTTTAGGTAAGTGAAGAATGACCTTTAGTTCATACGAGAGGACGAATACAAATCATGTGCATCATATATTGATCTTATAAAGGTCTTATTTGTACTACTTACAGACCCAACATCTCATGTTCCTACTATAACTAGGAATCATATTATGATTGCCTTTACATATTTTATAATCTAACCGAAAACTAACTTTCTAATTCAAGGCATATTGGCTAATAGTTTGGCTTCTCACTTTCACGTGATCCACTTCTCTATTGTGACAATCTTGGAAGTTGGGGAAACCCATGTCTCTAAGAATCTTGATATTCTTTCTCGAATGAACTATGAAGTATATGATTTTTGGTTACTATTTTCCCTCCGTCTCACTGTCTTTGTCCACTTTTGACTTTTGGAACTGTTCATCTAAGCACTTTGACTCATCAAATTCTCTCAATGTGTAAGCCTAAATATAGTCATGTGTGATCTTGTTTGATTTGTCTTAACATATAGATTATTAATATATAATTTCTATAATTTTTTAATATACAAATTACAAGATAAAATGGATTAAAGAAGTGCATTGGATGGTGTGCCAAAAGATAAGTGGACAAAGACAGTGAGGCGGAAGGAGTATATAAAAAAATGTTATGGGTATATAAAAAATGTATTCTATTTCTACACCAACACTTTATTTATCNGAATCTTGATATTCTTTCTCGAATGAACTATGAAGTATATGATTTTTGGTTACTATTTTCCCTCCGTCTCACTGTCTTTGTCCACTTTTGACTTTTGGAACTGTTCATCTAAGCACTTTGACTCATCAAATTCTCTCAATGTGTAAGCCTAAATATAGTCATGTGTGATCTTGTTTGATTTGTCTTAACATATAGATTATTAATATATAATTTCTATAATTTTTTAATATACAAATTACAAGATAAAATGGATTAAAGAAGTGCATTGGATGGTGTGCCAAAAGATAAGTGGACAAAGACAGTGAGGCGGAAGGAGTATATAAAAAAATGTTATGGGTATATAAAAAATGTATTCTATTTCTACACCAACACTTTATTTATCTTACATTTCTTAATGAATGCCTGAAAAAAGAACTGAATAAAAAAAGTTATATACACTTTTGATTTTTGATGTAACCTTACATTAGTCAACTTATATATCCAAACAATTTGTAACTTTTTAATGAGGGAGTAGTCCTGAGAGGGGAGTAAATATTTAGCATGTGATTGTAGTTAGAATTTCAAATCAATACTACTCCTGTCCCACGAAAAATTATGAAGAAATCCTATATTCTACTCCACAGTCCACAAAGCCAGTTTGGAGAATGGAAAGCTGTGGCTCTTCCGGTATGATGACGATGACGACGACGACAAGCATTCTCTCTCTGCTTTCCATTTTCTTCTCCTTTCCCCTTCACTCCCACGCTTACACCCCACCTGACCGTTATTTCATCAACTGTGGCTCTGATTCCCCGATCACCGACAGCCGGAGAACATTCACCGGCGACGACTTCTTCACCGGCGACAGCACCGAACTCGAAGATCCCAATTTCCCACCGTCCCTGCTCTCCATCTACAAATCTGCAAGAATCTTCACTGGAATTTCTCGGTATGAATTGGAGACGGATCAAATTGGGCCTTACATTCTCCGCCTTCATTTCCACCCCTTTTCTTCTTCCTCCTTCAATCTCTCCCAAGCCAAATTCAACGTCTCCGCTTCTGGGCTTTCTCTCCTGTCGAATTTCAGCGTACCCACTTCCGAATCCCCCGTCATAAGAGAATTCATACTCCCGGTGAAGGAAAAGAAGCTCAAGATTCACTTCGTACCTTCTCAAGAATCATCCTTTGCGTTTGTGAATGCAATCGAAGCTTTCTTGGCCCCCGACAGCTCCATCGACGACGAAGCTCTACCGGTCGGAATGGAGAAGATGAACATTGTGGTGGGTAACCTGTCATCGGATTTCTTAGACGTGATTCAGAGAATCAATGTCGGGGGCTCGAAAATTACCCAAAAGAATGATTCTTTGTGGAGAAATTGGGTGCCCGATGATGATTATCTGGTTTTCCGAGAACCAGAGATTGTGAGTTTGAATGATGTTGATAAACCCTCTTACGCTCCAGAATGGGCAACTCCATATGATGCTCCTGATGCCGTTTATACCTCTGCAAGAGTTTTAACTCTTGACAGTAATAATACCAGTATCAAGAACATAACCTGGCGATTTCCCGTGGACAGGAATTGTTCATATTTCTTGAGGCTGCATTTCTCAGACATTGTTAGCCCATCTCGGAACGACACCCAGTTCGATTTATTCGTAGACGGGGAATATGTGAAAATGGTGAGTCCATATGATCGAGTTTTCGCCCAAAGAACTCCTTTTTACTTTGACTATCTCTTCAATTCAGGGGATTCTGGTTCCATGGATCTCACCGTGAAGCCCCTTCAAGATTCGACTTCCAAATCCGCCTTTCTGAACGGCGTGGAGATTATGAAGCTGGGATCGGAGAAATTCTCGGTGCAATCCGAGACCCAGCCGAGGTGGAAACGCTTGCTGGTCCCAATCGGACCGATCGTCGGCGGTTCTGTTTTCCTCTTTCTGTTCGGAGCTGCTGCGGCGGCGTTTTTCTTCTGTTTGAATTCAAGAAAGGGGAAACCGGTGGACAATTCCGACTTCCCGTTCGACCAGATCTTCGGAGGGAGCTGGCAGAGTCATCAGAACTCGGAGAAGAACTCCATTCCCATGTCTCCCGACGTCAAGAACCTCGGCCTGAAAGTGCCATTGACCGAAATCCTCTTCGCGACCAAGAACTTCGACGCGAAGCGGATGATCGGGGAAGGAGGGTTCGGGAAGGTGTACAGAGGGACAATGAGGAACGGATTAAAGGTGGCCGTGAAGCGAAGCGAGCCCGGACATGGCCAGGGCTTTCTGGAGTTCCAAACGGAGATCTTGGTCTTGTCGAAAATCCGGCACCGGCACTTGGTCTCCTTGATTGGGTATTGCGATGAGAAGTCTGAGATGATTCTTGTGTATGAATTCATGGAGAAGGGCACTTTAAGGGATCATCTCTACAGTTTTGGGGACAAATCTTTATCTTTATCTTGGGATCAAAGACTTGAAATTTGTATTGGTGCAGCAAAAGGCCTGCACTATCTCCACGCCGGACTGAACTCGCCGATCATACACCGAGATATTAAGTCAACGAACATCCTTCTCGACGAATCCTACGTGGCAAAGGTCGCCGACTTCGGGATTTCCCGGTCCGGGGTCCTCGACCAGTCCCACGTCAGCACGGAGGTGAAGGGCAGTTTCGGGTATCTCGACCCCGAGTACTACCGGTGCATGCAGCTCACCCAAAAGTCCGACGTCTACTCGTTCGGCGTCGTGCTCCTGGAGGTGATCTGCGCGCGGCCAGCGATTGACACATTGCTGCCGCGCGAGCAGGTGAATCTTGCCGAGTGGGCGATGACGTGGCAGAGGAAGGGTCAGCTCGGGAAGATCGTCGACCCCGTTCTGGTTGACCGGATAAACGCGAGCTCGCTGAGGAAGTTCGGGGAGATCGCGGAGAAGTGCTTGCAGGACTACGGCGTGGATCGGCCGAGCATGGCCGACGTGATGTGGGACTTAGAGTACGCACTACGCCTCCAACACAGCGGAACGTTCCCCCTGGACCCGCGAGCAGCGGGGGAAGACAGCTCCACCGACGTGTCATTGCGGTTTCCGGCGCCTGTTTTCCACCGCTTGCCATCTCATGCATCGTCGGCAAACGACGACGATGCAGGAGACGAAGAGATGGATTCGTTGACTACGAACGAAGTGATAGCGGCCCGTGAGGCTTTTTCCCAGGTCCACAGAGTGAATGGTGCAAGATGATTTTGATTATTAGGGCATGCCCCCTATTTGGGTAAATGGGTTATAAGGCTAAATCAATGGTAATCAAAGATTAAGGCTATAATAATGCCACTTAGATTGACGGTCTAATTACTAAGTTGATACTCGGTATAAGTCTGTAGAATTCAGAATCTAACATTTGCATGTTTTGTTTCTTTCTTGAATTAAGTTCATTTGAGGTTTGCATATACTCTGTATTTGGGTTCTATTAGCAATTGGTCACATAAGTTATTTTAGATTCATAGCTTCTTTTTTTATTGAAATTTTTCCTAGTTCCCCAAAATGTTACTCCCAATGAAAAAAATGGGGAGTATTCTATATTCCTTTTGGAGTGATGCTTACATTCTCTCAAATTCTACATTTAAAATGTGAGTCTTTTTATATTTTTAATGAGCTTACATGCATATATTGCCTTTTTCAAAAAGACACTTCTTTTATACAAATACACTAAGGTTCATATAATAACATAGACTTTAAGTCCACGGAAGAATTTGTCTTCCAAAATACTTAATTAAATGATGTCATATGATAAGCATTCATTAAGTAGATAATTTTAAAAAAGTTATGACTTATCCATCAATCAAATAAGTATATCTATTAGAGAAAATGGATGAATGAAGTAGATTTAGGCCATGTCCTTTTTTTTGAAACATTGCACATCTTTTTATTAACAACCCCAAAGAATACAATCGGTCTAAAATAACTCATTCTCAACCAATTCTAATATTTAATTCTTTTAATTTCTACAATTGAAACATAGAATTTAACAAGAGAAATAGCTTCCTCATCTTTGATCTCTTTTTTAACTTTGCATTCATAGCTTTCCAAATGACATTAGAGACTGTCAACCATGCTGCTATTACAATTTTCCTCTGGCTTGTAGGCTTAATCTTCATAATATTACCTCCAATTTCCTCAAGGTTGGTTCTTTGAATATCAACATTCAGCCAATAAAATATTTCAGCATATAACTTTGAAGCATAAGGGCACTTGTAAAATAGATGTAGAGAGTCCTCCTCCCCTTCTCCACAAATTGGGCAGTTTGTGTCTATAGCCATGACTCTACTCAGTCTCTTCCTGGTTTGTATTCGGTTCCTCATGATCAACCAAAAAATGAACTTGTGTTTGGGTAACCCCATTTACACCAAACCCACTTATACCGGGGGAGACATTCTTTGGGTCCTAGCATCCACATGTACCCTTTAGACGTGTTATATTCTTCATTTCTGCTCATCCCTCCAAATTCATGTTTGATTTTAATTATTCTTTTTCAATAGTGGCAACAATTAGGATTATGAGTATAGTCCCACAAAGAGTTATTCTTCAATTACCTCGCATGAATCCACTGTACCCATAGAATGTCCTTTTTTGCAATGTCCAAGTTGAGCTTCATGATTGTGGCTTTATTCTAGAAAATCATATTTCGAATACCTAACCCTCCAAATCTCCTTGGCATGCATACCTTCTTCCATTCTACTTGGAGGCTTTCTTAAATTCTGCAGATGCACCCCATAGGAAGTTTATACACACTGCATTCACTCTCTCCAACACTTTTTTGGTAAAATGAAAATTCTTGCCCAAAAGGTGATTACCCCTATAAGCACAGTGTTGATCAGGTTCACCCTACCTGCATATGATATATGTTTAGATTTCCAGGTTGTAATCTTTGCTGTAAAACTTTCTACCAGCCTGTCACAGTTTTTTGGCTTGATCTAAATAGTTATAATTTGATTAGAATAAATTTTGATCTAATTTGATCTGAAGGTAGTTATATTCAAAAAATTTTTTAATTTGATCTAGTCTGATCTAAATTGATTCTAATTCGAAAAAGTAATATCTGTCAGAATAAGTTAAAAAAATATGACCTTAACTACATATTGAATTTTAATACGAAGTATCATCTTTTTTAATATCACGTTGATGGGAAATATTATTTGGTCCGGATATCTCGATCTGAATTTTCCACTTAATATTACTATAATTATCATCACCAAACACTCGCCACAAATTACTCCTCCTCCCATTATTATCCTCGTAGTCAATTCACTAAAACACTACATCAATGACTATAATGCCAAGATTATGTATTATATACTCCCTCCGTCCCAAAAAGATCTTCTTGTTTCATTTTTTGCGCATCCTATAAAACACTTCTATACACATCTAAAATGTCTAAAATTTACCACATTTCTCATTTATTGTAAGTAGAAGTTGTTTAGATTTTTTTTTTTGCATTTGAGGCGGGATAGAAGTGTTTTATGAGACGCGCAAAAAATGAAACAGGAAGATCTTTTTAGGACAGAGCGAGTACTAATAAACCTTCCCGTTGGCATGGTATCGCCGAAAAAGGCCATTGTTTACTTTTGATTTGGGTTTCCACGTCAAAATTAACTTATTCATATTTTTGGTGATTGTTAGCTTGCTTATCATTTTTAAATGATAAAAATGATAAATCTGGTCAAAACAATTAACACCTCACACGTCATGTTATAACAATCCATTAAAAGGTACTCCCTTCGTCCCTCATAAATTTTTTCAATAGCCCTTTTTCTATGTCCACAATAGATCTTCTCATTTCATTTTTAACAATTAAAATATCACAACTATCCCCATTTACTTTATTTATTACACCTCACCCACCTCACTTAATACACTCCATCCATTTTCATTAAAGGTATTATGGTAAACTTTCACCTTTTTCAACTCTCCTTAAAAATCACCAAAAGTCAAAATTGAAAATGAGAACATCTTAGAAACGAACGGAGGGAGTACTACCTAATTTCCAATACTACCTCCGTCTCACTGTCTTTGTCCACATTTGACTTTTGGAACTGTTCATCTAAGCACTTTGACTCATCAAATTCTCTCAATGTGTAAGCCTAAAAATAGTCATGTGTGATCTTGTTTGATTTGTCTTAATATATAGATTATTAATATATAATTTCTATAATTTTTTAATATACAAATTACAAGATAAAATGGATTAAAGAAATGCATTGGATAATGTGCTAAAAGGTTGGATAGTGTGCTAAAAGGTAGGGGACAAAAACAGTGGAAAAGGAGTGAGTACGTAATTTCCCACCCTTGCGTCAGTATCTCTACTTAATTTTCCCAGCACATAGCAAAAACCGGCGAGCCCAACCGCACAATCGCCGCCGGCGCCCACCGGAAGCTGTCATCCTCCCAAAAATCTAAACCGCCAATCGTTTTCGTTTCGGAGTAGAACACACGAGAATCCGCAGCTCGACGCCGTTGAATCGGACAGGACACTCTATCAACAAGACTGAGTCGAAAAATGCCGAGTTCGAAGGACGATTCCGCCACCAATACCGACAGCTCCAGCGACGACATCCCGGAATCCAATTATATCGTTTACTCTGTAGGCGAGAAGGTTCTCGCGTATCACGGCCCTCGTTGCTACGATGCCAAGGCATGCCCTTTCTCTCACTCCCATTTTTTCCATCCCTAAATTTGTAGGTTTTGTTATATAAATTCCGAAACTCATTTTGTTCGATTTCTTCCCTGCATATGGATTAACATACGTGTATAAGATGATATCGTAGTGCATATTGTTTTCCCAAAATGTTACACTCATTTGTTTAATTGCATTTTCAGTGCATGTTGGTTTGCTGCTAATGGCACACTGTTATTCGTAACGAGATTATCTTTGCACCCTACACACGGAATGTTTTTCGAGAACTGCTAGTTTTGTTGGGGTATAGAATTGGAAAACCAAGATTAACTACTGCTGATTATAAATGTTAAGGGAGAAAGATTTTGCTACCACTGATTATATGAAGATTTGGACTACTGATTTGCAATTTGTTGTCTGGACTATTTACATACTCCCTCCCTATCAAATTAGTTTTCCCACTTTGGCTTTATGGAATGTTGAAAAAGTGAGAATGAGTGATTAGAATTTGTTTGGAAGAGGGTAGAATTTGTTTGAAAGAGAGAAGTATTTTGTACCACATATTATTTTCCAAAAAATGGAATGGAAAAATGTGAGAATTATTTTGGGACAGATGATGGTAGCACGCTGATGCAGCTCATGTGCTTTTCCAATCTAGGTTCAAAGAGCCGAGCTTCGAAATAAGGAATGGAGATATTTTGTTCATTACACGGTTAGTTTGTTTCTGTACAGTTAGAAAAGCTTACGAAGCAGTCTGTTTTCTTAAAAAGACAGAGGAACAAAACTTGTAAATTTCTTATTCTAATGTCTTTCAGAATTACTTATTATTGTACATCACATTATTCTTTTCACATGAAACTGAATTATATCCATTTTGTGTGCAGGGTTGGAGCAAGAAGTAAGTTAAACGCATCCCATTTCTCTCTTAAAACATATTAACTTTCTAGAATTCAATGTTTGTCATTGAGCAGGCAAAGCTGCTTTACCATGATACCGTAATAACTATCAAGCCATTTTAGTTCTTATTCTCAATGTGTCAAGGGTATTATCAACTCAAGTTTGTGGAAAGATACTACGGAAATTAGCTACTGAAGTTTAATCGTCTTGAACCAGTTGGGATGAATGGGTAGGTGCTGATCGGCTAATTAAGCCTACCCAGGAGAATGCCAAAAAGCAAGACAAAAAACACAGTGTACAGAAAAGTGCCAGATCAGGGAGCTCAGCTCAAGCTAAACCTAAAAAATCAACAGGTTTGTTATCACCTGAGAAAGCTTCTAAGGACTCAAACAACAATTGCATAATTGTGATTTTCTGTTAATTATCAATGTGCAACCTTTAGAGTTGAAAGGATATTTATCTAGTTTGCCAGATAAACTAGAGAGTGATTTGATCATTAAAATATTCAGTTCTTGTCTTTCTCTGACTATGGTTTCCGAGGAATGTGTCTCGTTATATGTCATTTTTTATTAGAAGATTTAGCCATGCACTGTCCTTCATTGCTAGCTTTAAACTTACACGTGTAATGAAACTTTTTTCCTCAATCTTCAGACCTGCGAGTTGATAAAGAGGACATGAAGTGCAATGGTATGATATTTTTTCTCCACATTTGTCCATCTTTTTCTTAATGTAAGACGATTTCCCTTTTAAAATTAGGCAGATGCCTTTTCTCGTTTGTTTTGTGAGAGCAGAATTTTATATAATTTTGTTACAATTTTCAGTTCTTCCAACTTTATTCATTGTCAGTTACTCAGTTTGATTGCTCCAGCCTCCCTCAATGTTTCCTTAGCTCATTCTCCATGGTTACTTGTCTTGATGGCTAAACCAAACTATGCTAAATATATTATCCTAGAGGAAAAATCAATCACCGTTTGCCATTTGAATTAGCTTAAAAATCCTAATCTTTTATCTCTCTGTTCAAAACTCTTAAGTCTACAATAAAACTAATATTGCAGTTGCAAAGGGGAAAAAACGCAAGGCTGACTCTGGAACTGAGGTTTGCTTCATTTGGTGACTGCATTTAGTGTTGAAAAAATATTCTCCCACCATATTTTTAATGTGGTTTTGAATCACGTCTGTTTTTTTACATGCTTGTAAATTGCCATTGTGTAGTATGTTGTCTCTCTACTGGAATGTTTTGATTGTTGCTTCTAATTGTTATGATCTTGGTATGATTATCTTGCTCTTACTTAGTTAGTGCATACATTCTCCCATTCACCTTTTGTGCTCTATTGCTATGATGCACGGAAACTCTTTGGTGGTCACATTTGGGGGTTTTAAAGCCTTTGGAAACTCTATAACTCTAGAGACATACTCCCTCCATTTCTCAAAACGGTTCTTCTTTTGACTTTGGGGAAAAATAAGGAAGTGTTAAATTGTAGTTGACTTTCCAATTTTGCCCTTGATGTGATGGGTAAAAGTAAGATGTGATAGTTTAGTTGTTAGTGAAAAAGTATGATGTGATAGGTAGGGTATGAAAAAGTAGGGGTAAAAGTGGTTTTTTAATAGAAAAGGGAAGTGTTTTAAGAAAAACAAAAAAATGAAAGAGGAAGGGTTTTAAGAAACGGAGGGAGTATTTCAGTAGCCAGATTGTATTTTATTTTAAAATTTACAAATAATGAAAGTGTTTCTTGAATATGACTTATTCAATTTTTTAATCTTGTGCTTATCGACGACACGCGTGAGGGACTAAACGATAAGTTGGAATTATGGCGCCTTGCCCTTGAGACCAAAGGATTCAGAATAAGTAGGAACAAGACTGAATACATGGAATGTCGTTTCAGTGGCCGGGATACAGAATCAGAGGTGGAAGTCAAGATTGACTCTCACCTAGTACCTAAGGTAGACAGGTTTCGTTATCTTGGCTCAGTAATTCAGGCGGATGGGGAGTTAGATGCGGATGTTGGACATCGGGTTGGAGTGGCTTGGGCCAAATGGCGGTTAGCTTCAGGGGTGTTGTGTGATCCGAAGATTTCGCCTAGAATGAAAGGTAAGTTCTATCGATCCGTAGTCAGACCTGCTATGTTATATGGGGCAGAGTGTTGGGCGGTTAAGAAGACTCATGTGCGTCGTCTGCATGCGGCGGAGATGCGGATGTTACGATGGATGTGCGGGAAGACAAGGTTGGATAGGATTTCGAATGAGGTTATCCGACGTCAAGTAGGTATGGCACCGGTGGAAGACAAGTTGCGGGAAGCGAGGTTGAGGTGGCTTGGCCATGTGAGACGGCGGGATGCTGACGCCCCTGTACGGAGATGTGAGAGGATTACAGTTATTGGGGGAAGTAGGGGAAGGGGTAGACCTAAGAAGAATTGGGAGGAGGTGATAAGACAGGATTTAGGACTTCTTGACCTGACTGAGGATATGGCCCTAGATAGGAACCTTTGGAGAACTAGGATTAGAGTAGCTGGATAGGAGCTCGGTGTTGTAGAGGTTGTTTTGTAGTGTGTTGTATTTGTTGGGAATCTTTTGCTATTGTTTGTACTTGTTGCTTGTACTTGGTGCCTTATCTGTGCTATACTGTGTTCTCTTCCATATTTTTGTGCAGGTGGAGCCGGGGGTCTCTTGGAAACAGCCTCCCTACTTCCGAGTAGGGGCAAGGTCTGCGTACACACACCCTCCCCAGACCCTACTGTTGTGGGATTCAACTGGGTTGTTGTTGTTGTTGTTTTATTAAGAGATTTTCCGATGGAGCCAAAATTTCACCATTTTTTGGCTTTGGGGTGTGATGGAATAAATCAAAATGGATCTCTAAACTGTTTGCGCTTCTTTAATTAATGAAGTAGCAATTAGTCAAGCAATGCAACTTTCGACGTTGAGCCGGGGGTCTCTTTGGAAACAGCTTCTCTACTTTCGAGTAGGGGCAAGGCTACTCTTGTGGGATTTAACTGGGTTGTTGTTGTTGTTGTTTTATTAAGAGATTAATGCAATTTAGTTTTATATTAGGAGCCTTTTTTATGACTAGAGTGCTATTTACTTCGTATTATGATATCTCTGTTAGTGTATATATTTTCTTATATATGTAGGAAAAAGTCATTTTCTGAGATGTCCCTCTATATTTTTTATTTGCACACTTCCCTCCATTTCTTGTGTCCTGATTAACTTAGAAAATTTGTTTCCCTGTTTCCCTTTTCTCAATTTTGTGCAACTCTGCTGTTTTTTAAAGTTGATCTTTCCACTTTGAAGAGATTTTTTCTTACCCTTCATCCTTTCTATTTTTTGGTGGCCAATGTTATCAAAGTTGTGGTATCCCCTTCATTAGAAATATTTTTCACAACAAATTCTTAAATTGACCCTGATGCTACTTGTTAACCTCCAATGGGGTTGCTTTTCACAAGCAGGACAGTACACCAGTTGAGAAACTTATCACGATTCAAATTCCATCCACTTTAAACAAGCAGCTCGTTCATGATTGGGAGTTCATCACTCAACAAAATAAGGTATGTGGTCAAAGTTTTTCTTGTTTATTCTTTATATCACTGTACCCTATCTATTTGTTGTTCGTAGACACTAGAACTGTAGATGGGATTCAGAAGTTAATACTGATGTGTTGTTTTACATAAATCATATATAAGGCTCTCACTAACTCATGCACGAGTAATGGGGTCCTTTTGAAAGGTATTTTCTTTAATGGACATGTTAAAAGATAAATGTCTTTAATCTGAGGTCTGACGGCCAGTTCTTAAGCCCTCACATAAGAAAATTAGTTCACAATTATCTCAGAACTTTTGTTTACATACTCCTTGCAGCTTGTTCAACTGCCCCGATCTCCCAATGTTGATGATATACTTCGAAAATACCTCGAGTACAGATCTGAAAAGGATGGCATGTAAGTATCTTGAGTTTTTTTTCATTTCTTATTATTTTTTGATTGAAGAGGTTGTTTCTTTTAGTGAAAACTAAAAAAAAAACATCCATGATTATATTCATTGGATACAGGATGACCGATGCAGATGGAGAAATTCTGAATGGGGTACGCTGCTATTTTGACAAATCCTTACCTGTTATGCTTTTGTATCAAAAGGAACGCCAACAGTATCGTGAAGCAGTATCAGGCAATGTCTCTCCATCAAGTGTGTATGGTGCTGAACATCTCTTGCGTCTTTTTGGTATGCATGTTTTGTTTTGAAAACTTTTCTTGACATTTATTTTGCTCTCTCTGAGTATATTTTGTATCCAATTCATAAACATAAAAATAAAAAGGCCTCGGCTGGCGAGACCCGAGCCACAAGGCTGTTTAGTATACGGACCAGCAAAATGAAGTCGCTAGCCTTCAAGTTCTTGTGTCAGGCCTTTAATTTATGCTTCTGGCACGCCATAAAGCCCTTTGTAAGGTATCTATTGCAAGTAGCATTAAAAAAGTTCAAATATTTCATTTTGTTGGATAACTTCTATGATAAGCTCTAGCTCATTTTCTATACAGAGCAATAAGCTTCTCGGAGTAGCTCCTCAAATAAGGGAATGCACTTCTCATTTTAATTCCCTACATAACCCGATTTTTATTATCTTAAGCGAATGCCTTTATATTTCTAAATCGGCTTATGAACTTTTTTTAAACAAAACACTATCTGAGATCAGCTGGCTTATTGGCTACAATTCATAAGCTGTATGCTATGAGTTACTAATTAACTTATCCCAGATATCAGCTGTAAGCTAGTTTATCATCATGGTTTGCCAAACACAGCCTTCCATGGCTACAAAAACACTACATATCTCATCTGTGGCTGCTGGTTTGCAGTAAAGTTGCCTGAGCTGCTTGCTTGCCTGAAAGTTGAAGAGGAGACACTGATCCAGCTGCAGCAGAAATTGTTGGATTTTCTAAAGTATCTGCTGTTTACTTGTCTTTTAGTACTGACAAATATATTTCAATTAACAGTCATTGATCATTAAAGTGAGAAGTTTGAATTTTGCAGATTTCTGCAGAAGAATAAGGGTGCATTTTTTCTTACTTCTTATGACACCATTAAAGCTTCTGGTGGAGATGGTGGCAAGGGAAAAGACAAGTGAATGGACAAAGAACAATGGGGTAAAGCTTGGGAGGAAGAACTAACTAATCTTTGGTTTCATTTAGATGCTGACTATTGCTTGTACCATACTCTCACTATGTTTAGTGTAGTAGTAAAGCTTGGGAGGAAGAACTAAGCTTCGTCTTTTTAATTTTAATTTTACAGACAAAATGTTTGAGTATGCCAAAGATAATGAGCCTGTTTGGGAATAGCGTTAGCGATTAGAGTTAATGTTTTGAAAAGGCTATCTACGGACAATGTTTAGCGTTAGCGTTTTCAAAAAAATCCGCACTGTTAAAATTTTATTCAAAATGCTAACGTTATTTCCAAACAGACCCAATAATTGTATATGCGCGGCGACATATATGATTTTATTTGTTAGATCCAAAAGTTTTGGGAAAAAGAGTCATTAGTGCCTATTTTTTATGCTCATTTCTTATTTTTCATTTATTACTTTGTTTTTTTTCCTTTTTTTAATTTTTTTATCTCCTTGTTTTCCTTTTTTTAAATTTCTTTTAATTTTTTTTAATGTTTTTAAAAATTCAAAATTCTCTGTGTTTGAAATTAAAAAAAACAACATTTACTCTATCTCAAATAAAATATTTTAACATTTTTTTCTAGAATAATGTTTTTGGTAAGTTAAGAAAAATAAAAAATGTAAAAATAAAAATATGAAAAAAACAAAATGAAAAAAAATGAAACATCTAAAAAGTCTTATAGAAAAGGAAATTTTTAAACGTCTAAAAAATTACTCCGTATTAGAATTGAGATGTCAAACAAGGATATTTATTTTTATTTTCTGTTTTATTTTATTCCTCATTTTTTGAAGTTTTAAAGTAAGTTTTTAATTTTTTTATTCTAGAAAACAAAAATAAAAATTGTTAATTTTTGACATACAGATGCAAGATATGTTACTTTCATTTTCAAACAAAAATAATTTTAAATTTTAAAAACATTATAAAAACAATTTTAAAAAGAAATTTAAAAAACCTTGTTTGATAAAAGAAACAAAAAAAGGAAAATATAAAAAATAAATAAGAAATAAAGACCGGTGCTTCTTATTGTTTGGAAAAGATGTATCAATGTCTCTTTCTTCGATGGAAAAATATTAGAAAATAATCATAGAATTATAGGTGCAATATTTTAAAATCATAAAAACTTCAGAAATATATTTTGAAACGAGAAAAAGTATTAGTATCTACGGAGTATTTTCTAAAGGATTGGGTACTTTTTTTACTAGTAAATTTTACTCTAATTTTTTATTTCCGACGATGAAATGTTAGTCGATGACGAACTGCCGGAACAACGAGAGGTTCTTCTGAAATTCGCGGGCGCGATCGGACATTATCGCCTATCAATTTTCTTGCCGTAGAATCTCGATCTTCCCTCACGCGCCACCAAAGCGTTGTCTCTCCGGGAACACTTCGCCGCCTTAGCCAACCTACAATCTGGTCCAGGTTTATCAATTTTTTTCATCCGCAATTCCGTTTCATCATCATCTGATGCTCCAAGTTTTATATTTATTGGATGAGTAATTGAGTATCCTTGATTGCTTAGGGTTGGGCAAATACATTATCATGTTTTCTACTTCTATGTGATTGGATTCAAAAGTAGAAACTAGGATGAACTGATTCTGTCATGGCTGTTGTTAATAGGCGTCTTCTACCACCGTTCACTTGGTACACAGAGGGTTGGGGAAAAATATGTATGATCATTTCTCTCCTGACTCACACACTTGTAAAAACTATGTACCCTCACTCACAATCAATAACAAAGAAACACAATGTGAAGAAATGATTTTGTATTTTACTCCTTCCGCCCCCCAAAGCATCTTGACTTCATGAAGTTTAAGAAAAGTTATGAAAAATCAATGCTGTGTGTTGAAAAGTAAAAATGTGTAATTGAAATTTACTCCTAGTACTTTGAAAACAGAGAAGGGATAGGAGCCATATATTCCTTTCTTAAAATAGAAAGTGAAGAAGTGTAAAGTTCTTTTTAGGATGTCCGAAATCGAAGGAGTGTTTACAAATTTACGGAAGGAGTGTTTACAAATTTACGGATAGTTCACATCACTCTATTCTAACTTCTAAGAAGCACTCTTGGACGCGTGCTTCTACCATTGACTTTGGAGCTTCTCCCATAAGCAAGCTAATAAGAAAATAAGTTAAATAAATATTTATCATAACATTATAAAAATATTTATGTACTCCGTAGCTATTAAGAAAGTCAATGAATTCTTAGATGACCCTTAGGTCCACCTAAGAGTTTACCTTCTTGTCTCGTCTTGGATTTCCTCATCCTTGAGGTGGCTTTCACTCTCACCTTTTTAGAAGCATCACCCTAAGTTTACTAGGAATGAGGATCCTCACCCTCCATTTATACTAATTTTAACCTCTTTATAGAATGCCTCATACTCTAAAATATTCTAGGAAGCCTTGTACTTTTCCACAAAGATCTAGAGCATCTTATAGTTATTTTAATGACTAGAATATTTTTGAAAAACCACTCTCTTCTATACGTTTTTAGAGTATTCTACACTTCTCTAGAGGACTCTAGAATATTCTACACAATATCACACCATGTCACCATTCTTTTCATACCTAGATAATTTACTCATCTGCACAAAGATTGAGATTCTACAGAATCTTTGCAATTAAGAAAGGAAGCCATGTCGCCATCATACCTCCCCTCATGACCTAATTGAAAGTAATTGTAAGCCAGGAAACACATCAACAAATATGGATTCTTACATGTTAAACAAAGCAGTCTCTACCTTAAATGTGAGTAGCTTCTCCTCAAACAAAGCTTGTATCATATTATGACAAGCAACTAAACAAGGGTCATGGCCTCCTCCATAGCAACCTTTTATCTGTCAAATCAGACCGGTGGAGGGGGTTAAGAGTGAATATAATGCATTCACATGATTTTTTATAAGCAAAAAGCTTATAAAACATAAAATGTCTTCAAAAACAACACATTTCTCATTCCAATTGCAATTGTTTAGATCTCTTCGTTGATGCCAAGTTTTTACATATTTTTGCACAATAGATACTTACATATTTACATACAACTTATTCTTTTGAGACCTAGCTTCGGTGTCATATTATAACACCAAAGTCATCTTGGGACTCTATGGTGCTTTGTTGGTCTCGGGCCTGGGGATGGGTTTAGGGTAGGGGGAGGAGGCTGATGCTGTTTGTCTATAGTGAAGGGGGTATTGGCGTCACCAGTGGCTGAGGGTTTGTTGGTGGCCTCGCTATCATATTATGACACCAAAAATCGGTGTCAAAGAACCGTTGTGATTTGCATAGAGAGAAATTTTTGGAGTAAGTAGATGTGATTTGGGTGAGCCAGAGGTTACTTCAACTATCTCTCAAACTATTTTACACTGTTGGTACGTTAAAACACTACATTTGGACTTTGGAGTGGGAAGTGGTTCGTCTGGCCCCTCCCTAGCTCCATCCATGCCTATGTAGCTCTTTGCTGGTCCTATACTCGGATAAGAGAGGAGTGTTGCTGGTTGCCAGCATAAGATTCAGGCACACTAATGAACCATAAAGAGATTCTTCACAAGCATATTGCCTACTTGAAGACGCGCTACATTCTCTAGGTCCGAGTATGGTTGCTTAGTTGCTTTGAAGCAATTTCAGTTCCCTTTCTAAAACTGGTTGAATGTCAAATGAGCAAGGACTTTTAGGGTCTAGGCATGCTAGTAGTTAGAGCCTTAGAGGCTTTATCATTGTACTATATACTGCTTAACGTCTTAAAGTGTTGGATCCTCAACTGGTAAGTTGATGTAGTTAGTGGAAGCAATGAAAAGGATGCGAATAAACATTTCTTGTCTGTGAGAAACTAGGTTGGGAATAAAGGCAAAGTGATAAGTGATAACACTCTGGACTTATAAACTTTGATATTCTCCTGGAGAAAAGGAGCATGAATAAAGTCAAGACTATTATTGATGATCAAGCGATCAACTAACTAAGGATGCAATCCAAAGGAGCAACATGATAACTATCAACTATGTGATCAAAATGTACCCCTAAGACTGAAGGGAAATTTTTATGGGACTGCTGTAAGACCGGCTTTATTATGCGGATCTCATTGTTGAACAATGAAGTGGTGAAAATGTGTGTGTTAGAATGGATGTGTCTTAAAACTAGAAATGATAGTTTTCACTTGCACAATGAGGCTTAAGTAGCGATATATGGTATATGACTGAAAGAATGAAAAAAAGGATTTAGGCTTCTCTCAAAAAACTTCATATTAATGAGTTATGTGAGCACTTATATTTTGGTCCATCTTCAATCTCTCCTGTAGGAACTTTGGGTTTGCAGTTTGCACCAACAGTTACCAAATGATAAATCTAACCCATGGTGGATTGTGAATACTATTGTGCACCTGCTGTTCATTATAAATGCTTATTATGCACTTTTTTGTGTTTCAACTTAAGCAAATTATCTGAATCTAAAATTTAGTAAACTTTTTTTATGTGTTTTAGGAGTCTTTGAAATTACTTTTCATAAACTTTTTTTGTTCAGGAGTGTCGTAGTAAATTTAAAAAATGAACATGAATACATGATGAAACGGCCTCTCTCCTTTTGAGTAGGGACAAGATCTCCATACACATATCCCTTCCCAACCCTACTTTTTGTGAGATTTTACTGGGTTTGTTGTTGTATCCTGAAGATCGGTTGAGAAAGATTGAAGAGGCTGTAACCACTTCTTCACATGGAAAAGATTTTAATGATGCTACACTTTCTGTTAATGAGAAAATGCTATAACTTTTTCTATATTTATAATAATGATGATTATGATGGTTTGTTTGTAGCTATCTATGTGCACCCCACAAGTAGTTCACTTTTTATTAGTTAGAGATGGTTTCTGGTTTCTGCCAACTTGTTCATTTTTTGAGAAATATCTGGAAATGCTAAAAAAGAAATGTATTTTCAATTAAAATCCACACCAGAGGGTGAAGATAACATTCTTGAAATGCAATATCGGAGGCACATAAATGCCACTAAGTGTGCAACGCAAGGACTTTCCTTTTGCAATAAATTTGTTCCTTCAAGACAAACAAGATAAATACAGGAGTTGTGTCTTGATGTATCCTAATTTGGATTTTCCCCTCTTATCCCTAACTTGATGCTCAGCACATGGATTTCCATGAATAAGTTTTGGTTTTTGTACATTGTGTGGGTTAGAAGAGTGAAAAGGTTAGAATAATTACATTTCACTCTTAGGTGTTTTTGGTTGGAGGTAAGTGGGGGGGTGGGGGGGGGGGGGAGTTGCCCAATTTTCCCTCTTTCTGTTCAAAACATTTGGAGAGCTTTTACCTCAATCCTCTCCAACACCATCATCTCCTTTCCACCCCTTCCCTCTAAAAGAACAATCCAATACAAACTCATCTCCATTGGGATCTGAAGGTTTAAGTAAGATGTAAGAACTCTTACTCCTATAAAAAAAAGGAAGCCATTTTTGTTAGATTCTAGATGCATTGCTACCCTTACACTTATTGTCCAAAACTTCATAGCAAGTAAGAAACGAGAAAATTTTAATGTGGCATTTTGATATAGTCAATTATGTGTTTGAAACTAAAACATTGTCAATAATGAGCCTTTAACTCCATTGACACCTTTCTATAAACCATGTATTTGGTTGGAGGAGGGAGGGAGAGAGATTTCTCCGTCCTTCCCTCCCACCACCCCACCTCTTTTCCGACAAACCAAAATAGTAACATTATAACCTTTCCCTCCTAGAACTAAATAGAGGTCGACGCCGTCCTATTTTGGTTCTGGAACCAGCGATTCCCAGTCCCAAAAATGGGGGAACCGGCATGGTCTTGGTCCAGTTTCAGTTTTGAATCGCTTTCAAATTGGATTAAATAAAAAAATAATCTGTGAATTCACAGGTTTAATTGGTATTTATTTCTCAGTATTGATTTATCTTCCATATCTCTGTTTGTGAGCAGTGCTGTGATTAGTTTCTGTTTACAGATAAACCAAAGAGTGGCCCTTGGTGACATCAGCCTTTTGGGTTTTCTCCAACTATGGTTAGCGGTGGGGTTCTGAGTAATCATATTTCCTGGAAGTTGACACCACTGGTCCATTCAACTCCACGTAAGTATTCTACTCGTTTAATTTTTGTGTTCTCATCATACAACAGAAAGAAGAAAGAAGAAAGAGAAAGAGAGAGAGACATCTTCGGCTTGCGAAAGAATATCATTACCGAACATTATATGGATGACGACAAAGGTTTTTGAATTCCTGAGTACCGTGTTTATCATCCTTACGCTAACCGGGAAAAACCCAAAAAACTAAGGTTACAAATCTCATCCAGTTTGATTTTGTGTCAATTATGTCCATTAGATTGAGATGTCGGGGCGGTTCAATGCCAATCAATCCACACTTAAATTTTGTGTATTTGAGATGACAATCAATCAAACTGCTAAAGTTAATGTGAAACGTGGGCTTAATCCAGCAAAGCAGGGAAAAAAAACTAATGCATCAACGGAGACGGTTCCCATGAAATTGCTATGAACCGAGGATCCTATGGTATTCCTGTTCGAAATTTGACGATTCTTAGCCCTCTAACCTCCTGGTAAATACTTTACCCCGGTTCAACTCCAACCTACCCCACGGCCCCACCTCTTTCAATTGTACCCTACAAATTTTAGTGATTCTGGAGTCAAATTTTTACTTCAAAATTAACAAAATTTGGGAGTGCAATTGAAAGGGCGGAAGGTGTGAGGTTTAATTTGACTTCAAAGTTAACAAAATTGAAGAGGGTGGAAGTGAGTTCAGGCCGAGCTGGGTTAGGGTTTTAGGGGAGAGTTATAAGATAAGAATCATTAATTTTTTTGAACGAAACACCGTATGACCCCCGATCATCTCACGATATTGGTCCTAATGTCATGAGAACCAAGTAAATTATGTTCATCGCATAGAGGACCAAAACTATTTGCATATTAAAAATGTACAACAAATTTACATCACTTTTTTAAAGATATTTATCCCAACGATAAACATTTGCTTAATTCCGCATTACAAAGGTACCATTACAATATTTGTGAATACACAACATGAGAGATGATCCTTACATTGATATGATAGATAGAACAACCGTCTAGGGATGGACGGACGGTTCAAAGAGCCATTGGAGGGAGTTAAAACGTTACATCAGAAAGATATGTGATGTGTGGCAAAAGAGGGAGAGTAACGCTGGGATTTGTAGGTGTGGGAAACTCGTGTGTACTTGCCATTTTTCCCAGACCTACCCCCAACGAAAGCTTTACTAACTGTCCTATTCTTCAAACGGCCAGCACCAATTTGTGAGTCTGGTAAAATATAAACACACGACATTCACATTTTCATCACCATGGGTTTTTGCTACATTTTTTTTTAAAGTTCAAATTTTTTTGAAGTTTTATCCAACATTGGGTAAGACTAATAAGACATGATCATTGTTCTTTTTTTTTTGTTTTTGAACTTTTTCTTTTCACTTTTTTTTTTGGACATGTCCTTCCATGGAGTGATGAGCTCAACTCGATTCTTTTCTCTACTTTTTTTCCCTGTACAATCCCAAAGATTATTTTGTTTTAGGCCATATCCATGGTAGGACCATACCTAAAGAACATGAGAGAAACGAAACAAAGATGGTTTCTTTTTCTCTAATCCCTTCCTTCCCAGCCTTAATTACTCCGACCGATAAACTCCCAGGCGGTTCATGGTGGCTGCGGCAACTTGCTGCATGCACATCGCAGGCACGTTCCCATTCTGCAGCTGCAGCGGCGGTTGATTTTGCATCTGCTGTGGCGGCTGGAAGCGCTGCTGCTGCTGCTGGTGGTTCTGTTCCACGTCCATCATGTAATTCCTGACCTCTGCTTTGATCATGTCTTGCATCACCGCCAGCAACTCCTGGCTAAACGGCACAAAGACTCTGTCTTGGGTCTCCTTTGGCGACTGAATTGGGGCAGCCATTAACGGGGATCCTCCAAGATCGGATTTTTCTTGGGATTTCTGATGGAACGGCACGGGAGGGAGCGGTGGCGCTTGAATCGCCGGCGGGAACAGAGCAATTGAGGTGTTGGGGTGGGTTGACTCTGTCAACCGAGGGGAGACATCCGGCGAGTCAATTCCTGGCAGCGAAAGGCTGAGGGATGTAGGAGGGTCAATCGGAGGAGTCTCAACCGCCTGCGGTGGTAATACTCCGCCGGTTCTGGCTATGGGCTTGAATACATGATGATGATGAGTGGATGGGGACATGGCCGGCGGCAGACTTGAATCACTGACATCCGACCCGGAAGGGCTGCCGGGATTGAAGTAAAGGCCGGAAACGGGAAGCGCCGCCCCGGCACTCACCGATCTCTTCAGCGGCTGCTGGAGGATCCGGTCGGCGAGATCATTCCCTTCATCGGCGCTCATGGAAGAGCACTTCCTCTTGAGGGTGGAGTTCCAGTGGTTCTTGATGGCGTTGTCGGTCCGGCCGGAGAGGAGGCGGGCGATGGTGGCCCACTTGTTGCCGAAGCGGGCGTGGGCCCGGATGATGGTGTCGTCCTCCTCGGGAGTGAAGGCGCGGTGCTCCACCTGGGGGGACAGCTGGTTGCACCACCGCAAGCGGCAAGACTTGCCGGATCTGCCGGGGATGGTTTTGCTGATGAGAGACCAGTTCCTGGGGCCGTGCTTCTGAACCAACTGCTGTAGAAGTTCGTCTTCCTCAGGACTCCACGGACCTTTAACCCGATCCACATCCTTCCTGCCGCCATTACTCGCCGCCGCCGCCATTTCTGTTCCGATCATCATTCAATCAAACCGCAAATACATAGATCCTTCAACTAATTATAAAAACAAAAAAAGGAAACAATAAAGAATGAATGAAGGGAATTGGTTTTTTTTTTGAGTTTTTGTTATGATTTTAATTTTCAAAAACAATCAAGAAAAAAATCAAGGGAGAAGAGGGAGGTATAAATAGTGGGGTGGGGGGGGTAACCGGTAAAGCAGGTGGTGGGAAAGAGAGGACGTTATGTCACGGCCACCGCGGCGTTACCCTAATTCTGTAGCACTCCCTGTAAAAGCCAAAGCGGTTAAAAGAAAATTAAATGAGAAAAATTGGATCGGGGAATGGGATACAGCTGGCGAACGGACACGCGTCACATCACATCTCTCCTTCCTGCACTCACTTACACATCCATACAAATGCAACACAACTCTTTTTTCTTTTTTTTTTTCCTTCCCTCACACGTTTTTTTTTTCAAAAACAAAACTTTATCCATTTGAATCTTGAGGTGCATAAAAAAGTTGTATGGTTTGAATTTATTTACAGAGTAAGATGAATTATTTTTTCATTAATAAAAAAGGAATAAAGTTAATGTCACTATTAAAACATACTACTTCCTCCGTTTGTAAAAATTTTCAATTTATCGATCTTGATTGTCTCATAAAACATTTGAATTTGAGATAAATGAATGCAACTACACTTTTTATAAATCCAACAGTATATAAATTATTTTCTACACTCTATTCATTTTGATATTTCTCGAGAATTACTCGTTTCAAATATCATTGTTTCACTTTGGTCAAATTTACTAGGGTTTCTCCTCTCAAAAATCAAAACATGAAATATTTTGTAGGACGTAAGAAGTATAAGTTGTGTGATACCATTTTGATAAAATACTCTTTTCGTTCCAGAATGAATTACGTTTTAAACAAAATTAATTAAAATTTTAAATTTTTCAATCTATTTAATTTAAAAATTGATATAAAAAAATAAGACTCGCAAATTTAAAAAAGTACATCAATTTTTTAACCAAAAGTGAATATATTGAGATCAAAAAGAAATATCAAATAGAGAGCTAATAGAGCCTAATACGAGAGGTAACAAAAATATTTTATTTTATCAAATAATTAATGAAAATACATATTTAAACAAAAGTTTTTATGATTTTTGAATACTAAAGAGTAAATAATTTTGTGGCGGATGGGATATATATTAGGATCTTTATGTATGAAAATTTTGATGTGGTCTTAAGGTACATACTCATTATGCGGACCGTAGTATATAATTGTCATGGATGAACTGGACTCTTTGAAAAAATAAATATTCCCATATTGGCTAATGAAAAATGTGAGAAAAACTACAACTCACGTGTGACCTTAGAATTATAGAAACACTACTCCTTTAAGTGTATTATGAGTTTCAATTGTAAACTCTGTTATAACCCTATATATAAGGTCGTCTACTAATGAATCTAATGGATTTAGTTCTCCCTCCAACAAAAGTAATTTTTTAATTGGGGTAATATTTTTTTAATTCAAAAATAATGTTTTTGTATATAAGTAAAATTTCATCACAATACTTTTATTTCTTTATTTGAAGCTTGACAATGTGATGGTGGACCACTAGTCAACAGTGGTCAACACTGGCGACGGGCAATGGCATTTTGTTGATTGACGTTGAAACTTGGTGGCAGTGGGAGTTGGTACTATGACAGTGGTAGTGTAAACTCTTATTCAGGCCACAAAAAAGTGTACGTCTATTTTGATATTTTCATTATTTTTTGCTCTTATTTAAAGCAAGTTATATGTTGAGATATTCATAGTTTTTTTATCAGATCAGTACGACTACTATTTCCTTTTTATTCATATATCTGGCTTACGCACATTAACCTTGGTTCCTATACGCCACCTTCTGAAACACATATGGAGGTAAATCTGGATTTGATCCCAATGACTAATGATTATACGCATCCTGTCCCCAAGTTGATTACAATTTTTTGGGACATACATTTTGATAACTTTTATTTTTATGTATTTTCATTAATGATTAAAAAAAGTATAAAAAATTTGTCACCTCTTGTTTTATAGACTTTTCGACGTAGTTTCTTAACATTCAAATTCTATTAATTATTCAAATACCAAAATTTAAAATGTATAAGATTTTAGATCGTAAATAGAAAATTATACTCCCTCCGTCCCAAAAAGAATGGGACGGTTTGACTTTTTGGGAAATTAAGGGAGGGATATTTTGGTATTGACTTTCCAAAAATATCCTTGATGTGATGGGTAAAAGTAGGATGTGATGGGTAGATTATTAGAAAAAAGGTATGATGTGATAGGTAGGGTATGAAAAAATAAGGGGTAAAAGTGGTATTTTACGGGACGTAATTTTTTCTAAACGTAACAAACTTTTTGGGACGGAGGGAGTACTTCGTAATATAATTTGAGACAAAAGGATTATCATTATTTTGAATAGTGGATAGATGTATAGAGGACACTTTTGAAATTAACAATGGTAGTTGAGGAGATACAAAGGATATTTGTGTCATTTAGAGGAATGCACTTACACTTGATGCAGGGGTTGATTTGCTTGACCAGATTGAATATAGGTACTATTTGGTCGATTTAAAATAAATGCGACTGTTTTTGTATGGATTATTTTACAGTGATTATGTGACGAATACTCGTTTGCACAAATTATAACCACATGGTTATAATTATAAACTTTTGTTTTAGTAATTTACCTGCCTTTACACTTTTTGTATATACTCTTAACGGTACCTTTACACGCAAACAAGATATGTTTTTTGATATATCCATATATATCAGAATTCTTTTAAGATGTTTGGTGAAATTAAAAAAGTTAGAATTCGATATTTTCAGATATCATTAATCTTTCAAATGTAAGATTCTGATGTCTCACGAATTGGGATATGTCAATATTGGATTTGATATGTCTTTCAACTATTGATCATTGCCCGTCACCGACTATCATTATCACCGCCAACCACTCATATTGCCGGTTATCCCGCTTATCACCAATTTAATCACGATTTTAAAATCTTCTCAAATAAATTTATTTCCGATTTTAAAATTCATTATATCATTTCAATCAGATTTCATAACTCATATCTTTCATATCTTCAAACCCCACTGAAGTGCCTCTAAAATTAAAGGAATGTGTGGGACACATAAAAAAGCCACTAGGTTGGGTTAAATACTTTAAATGTGTGATTAATTTCAATAATGGAATCAGATACATGAATAGGTTGGGCGGTTTTTTTATTATAAATGTGTTCTGCTTAATGTTTGTTTGTAACGGAGTGGGATGGAATTCATACTTGCACCGTTGCAGTCCGTTCAATGCCAGCGGAGCATGGGATTTACTACAGTAAGTAAACTTTTACGAGTACATTATTTGACCTCTGCAGACTGAGAATTTACCCCTCTCTTTAGCATCAGCTTTAAAGGTCACGTTAACGTTTTGCAAAAGACGGTCTGACAGTAGTCTTTAGCGCTAATATTTTTAGAATTAGTCTACACTATTAAAATTTTATTCAAAATGCTAAAACTTGTTGAGAATATCATTCCCAACAATGTTTGCATCTTCCAAATTTTTGTAGTATTTAATTCTTTTAAATTATATATAATTTGTGGTCAAATGATGCCACAATTTGACTATGACAATCATTTAGGGACAGAAAGAGTACAAAAACTCCGTATGTTAGTTTCACGAAACACAAACGAGAACATCACGAAATTATAACATAAGAGTAATTGAAATAATTTTACAATTATTCTGCCTTGATAAAAAATCATCTTGTACTTTTTTAAAAAGCATAAAAATGCATTATTAGACTTTGATTCGGAATTAGAGAATTATATATTTGAAATAGAACAAAAAAATATCCAAATTTGACTTAGTTTGTTTAAATTCAATTTTTTAACCAAAATGGGCCAGGCTGATTGGAAGATCGGCTGAGCCAACCAAAAATAATTTATTATACACATAATGGAAGAAAAGCACTTTTCGGATAGCTTTTGACATCTTTAACTGACTTTGACTTGTTTAACTTTTCGAACCGTTAAAATCATTGTTAAGCTAATAGTTTTTTCACTTGGCTTATTGATCCGAAATGCCAAAATCCGAAAAGCCAAGAGAAGTATCTTTTGAACATGGCTTTTAGAAAAAAAAAATTTTAATCATTTTTCTTCAAAGATATTTTATAATATATGAAAAAAATAAAAATAAAAGTAAAAAAATTCAAAAATTTAAAAAATAAATTTTAATTTTGAATTTTCAAAAAAATATGAGAAAATCAAAATTAAAAAGCATTAAAAAGTTATATTTTAATTTGTTCTTATGAATTATATGAAAATGAAATTTTATGCTCCACATATTAATGTGTGTCTATATATATATATATATATATATATATATATATATATATATATATATATATATATATATATATAGACAAAAAATTTCATTTTCATATAATTCAAAAGAACTTATTCAAATATAACTTTTTAATGCTTTTTACTTTTGATTTTCTGATATATTTTTTTGAAAATTCAAAATTAAAATTTATTTTTTTAATTTTTGAAATGTGTGTATATATATATATATATATATATATATATATATATATATATCTGTGTGTGTGTACCAAAACACCAATTCAAAATAATTTCAATAATATATAATACTATGTAAAATAAAATATACAATTAAAATTATCACACAAGGAGTATGTAAGGGGGGCTAATAGCATGATTGCCCTCCGTGGATTACATAAAGAGCATCAAAACCTCCTCTATTTTTAAAAATTATTTTTAAAGTCCCTATGGTTTCTAAATAAAACACACATGCCCCCTTATTTATTTTTAAAGCAAAAATAACATTTATGCCCTTTCTTTTCCTTAATCTTGAATTTTTCCAATTTTATTTTCCTTTATTATAAAAATATATAATATAAAATATTTGCTTCACATCTCAAATTAAAATTTTCCATAATGTATTTTTGACAACAAAAGATTTTTTGGAGAATATTACAAAAGAAAATGAAAAATAAAATATTATGTACAAAGTAAAAATAGTAATTGAAAAAGGTAATGAAAAGAAAGAAAAATATAAAAATCGGTCTTTTCTTTAACTCCATATTTTTTTTTTTCATCTTTTTGTTCTTCATTTTTTAATGTTCTTAAAAAACTATTTTACTTTTAAAAAAAATTAGAATTTTAAATTAGAGATAAAGTGAGTATATGT